GAAAAAGAAAAAANAAAAAAAGAGACTCCACCGCACCGGGCAGAGGCGACCTGAATAACAACTAAAAATTTCACTGACGAGGTCTTCAAACTGACAAAATTTTGTGACATTCCACTGATGACTGTGCTAATTTATGGAAGATAATTCTATCGGGATTATAGAAGGAAAGTTCCTCTGCTGTGACCATGTTGTTGCTAATGACACGCACGTGTTAATGCTGTCAACAATGCTTGCTATTCACAACAAGCACAATGCCATAGAATCGAGAGGAAACACATCCAAATTCGTAATTATTAATTTGGCAATATTTGGCATGTTAGCCATCACACACAAAATGACTCAGCTCATGATTTCATTGGTGTGCAGGTATGTACAAAATACGAATGTTGTGCTTTAAAACCAGTTGCATTCCTGAAAACTGCAGTATGTTTTATGTTAACGTCTATCCACCAACGTACAGTTCATCATTAATCATCGGTCAACGTACAGCTAATTTACAAAAAGCGAAGATATTGTTTGCTAATCAATGCAATGGATAGTTATATTATTAAAATTGGTTTACACCCTGTCCCTGGACTGTTAAAGTTATATCGCATGAGGAACATAACGTATTACAGAATGTTACGTAAGTAACAGACAAGCCACAAACCTTCCTATCCATAGAGATGAACATGTCATTGATGGTCAGAGATGCTGGATTGCGCTCCTGCAAGGCCCAGTGGACGCCAGGTGCCAGCTTGAGTTCTGTTCCTGTCAGATTCACCTTGAACGTTCCCTTAGCGCATCCCTGCCCCTCTGAATAACAGTCCCCAGCGTGCGCGTAACTGATTTCGTTGGGCCCTGTTGTCAACAAAGGCAGGAAGTCAGTACAAGTTAAAGTTCACCAGAAATTTATACCTTAAATTTGATAAAAACAACTAAAGTAATGCAAGTAGTAGTAACAATTTCGGCAACGTACAAAAAATGCCTGACAAATTGAACAAAATGTGTACGTCTATTTGTCTGTTACTAGAATACGATGCTGCGGAGATTTGTGACTTGATGGTGAACTTTGAGACTTGAGGTATTCTTTACATATGAGTCCGCCATCGTAGCACCCTATACCAGTTATATCGCAACTCGGTAGTCAAAGGCAGTATTGTAAGGAAACCAACCAACCAACTAGCCACTGACTTACCACAGGTGCTGGCAAAAGTGTAATCAACTCGAATAACCTCGACGCTGGAGTTCTCAAACTTGATTCTCAGCTTGCTGAACTTCGTGGTTCCAGCACGTGAGACATACTGGTCCTAAAGGCAATGACAAAAGATGGCGTTGTATTTAAGTTGTATTTGATGTAGCAATGAGCTCTAGGTTTACTACATAGGTTATTGCAAGAATGTACTGCTTATGTAAATCTTATGCATGGGAAGACCACCTGTAAATGGCTTACATGTACAATCCTGCTTATTAGCAATTGTTTATGCAAATTACCCAAATGGCCCGTACCTAGTAACATGCAACACATTGGTGAAATACCTTTCATTTGGCATGGACAAGGTATGATATTGTTGGTTATATGCAAGTTAGAGACTAATTTTCAGGTTTCATACAAGAGTTCCATTCCAAATCGTGTTAACCATTTAAATTCCTTTTCAGTGGGGCCCTTCACCATACATACTTATTTATTTATTTATTGTTTGATTCAGGCAGAGCCCATTGACAACATAGACAACACAAAACACATAGATCTAGCCAGATCAATGTCTAGGATAAAAGAAACTAAGCGAAGGCCTATTTAAGGTCTGCTTACCAACTGGCAGTATCGACGCTAGAACTGACTTCTGGGGAAGGCATCAGAGCATAAAAGCAGACTGATGATGTCGTTACACTACGCCAGGAGGCGAGCCGCAAGAGAGTGCGTCAGCTTTCGCCTCCTGGCGTCGAAGGTGTCGACACCAAGCTGGGCAAAGAACAGGCTGTTACTAGTGGAGCGAGGCTGCGACATGATGATTTTGAAAGCATCACACCTGCGCTATGATTGTTCCATAGTTGTACGCAGTACATGGGGGAACAATGCGCTACAAAGAGTATACGCTTAACCTCAGCGGAGCAGATGCCGAAAGTTCGGATTAAAGAATTCGCTTTTGTGTACAGCTGGCGGGTTTGTTTACGGATGGAATCGTTGTCAGAAAGGTCCGGTGTAATTTGGAAGCCAGGGTAGGTGACCGAAAGCACATAAGGGAGGGGTGTGCCGTACAGTTTCACAGATGGTGGCGTACTACATGTAGACAAGCGGCTTCGGTGACAGGGAAAAACATACAGTTCGTCTTCCTGTCACAGAAGGTCATGTCATTTTCGGCACCAAAAGTCTCACAGACATGAATCAGTTTCTGTAGGGCCTTTGCCGAGGGACATATCAAACAAATGTCGTCGGCATACAAAAGATGATTTACAGGGACAATAAAGCAACCCACGTTGGCAGCGTTTAACTTAACAGTAAGGCTCGTAACGTATGCATTAAAAATTAGAGGGGAAAATAGACTCCCCTGGGGAACACCGTTGCCGAAGCAAAAGCTATCCGAAACGGAAGATCCCCAGCGCACCCTGAGGGATAACATTTGGAACCAGTAAACTATAATACGTACTAAATAGACGGGTACATTTCTATCAAGTAATTTCTTGTACAGAGTAACATGGTTAACTCGGTCAAATGCCTTAGAGGCGTCAAGAAAGCAAACGAATACAGAAGAACCTCGGCTTTTGAAGTAAAAAATTATCTCTTTCAGTGCGAAAATACACATGTCTGTCCCATGGTGTTTTTTAAAACCAAATTGATTCAGCGGAGATAATAAGTGCTTCTCCAGGCGACTGAGGAGAAGGGATTCAAATAATTTGAAAATGGGACTGGAGATTGCAATGGGACGATAATTATTCTTAAGTGAAGGATTCAGTTTTTGTTTCTTGATTATCGGAATGAGAATTACCCTTAACTAGAGTTCCACGATCTCATGCCTTCGACAAATGATGTTAACCTTTACGACTGACAAATTATGAATGTTTCACATTGATTATCGAAATAATATCCTCACTTGCAATTATATCCTTTGATCATATTTTCCATCCAATGACAGTCTTATAATCTTAAACAAAGAGGGCTATATATTCTAGCATTTCCTCATAAATCATGCAAATAAGGTTCAGATTTGAATAAATTATGTTTAATACTGATCACCTTCACTTAACTTCCAAATGCAGCCAGTATGAAAATCCTGTCAGTAACCACTATTTCATTGTACTATTTATAGCATTTTTCTCATTATTTATGCAAATTAGGCCTTATTGACACCAAAAATTTGTGTCCCCAGCCTGTTTACATCATGAGCTATCAAAACTGCTTGACTGCATACCCCAGTTGATGTAGAGCTCAACGATTTGACCCACTTCCACATCTGTGTTTACACAAGGGCAGGAGAGTTACCAG